TGTTACTGGAGATTAAATCCAGAAGTGCTTTAACGATGAGCCACATCCCTAGTCCTTTTTATTTTGAGAAAGGACTCTTGCTGAATTGCTGAGGATGGCCTCCAATTTGCAATCCTCTTGCCTCAGCCTCCCCAGTCCCTGGGATAAYAGGCATGTACCACCGTGCCACACTACTGCAAACCTCTAATCAAATCTCAAATTACTCAAATTTTGTAAGTCACACTGTTAATATTCAAGGCACACTCCAGTAATCTCAGGAACTCAAGAGGCCAGCCTCAGCAAGTTAGCCAGAACCTATCTAAAAATTTTTTTTAAAGGGGAGTGGTTCTGGGAATGTAGCTCAGTGGTAAAGCACCCCTGTGTTCAATCCCCCTGGCCGAAAAAAGAAACAGGAAATTCTCTGTAATACTGGTCCTGCGTGTGTGCATGTGTGTGCATGTGGAATTGTACAGAGTCTTGCCATGGGTGGCGACTCCATCTTTCTTTTTTCCCATTCCCTTTCTCTTTCCTGGAGATGGCCTTTGCACTGCATTCTTCCGATCCTGCTTGTTTTTCTGAGATGATTTCAGAAAACAGCTGGTTCATCATAAAAACTGACCCCTAAACTGGAACTTCCTGCCCTCAGGAGAAGAGATAGTTTACCTGGGGTCAGGCCAAAACACCAGACTGTGGGACTTAAGCTCTTGGGAAATGCTGATTTCTGCTCAGAGACCCTGACCTGATCCTCAAATAAATATTCCTACTTCCCCGGAGGGGACTGGAAAGGGGACTTGAGGCATTAGTTGTCATCCTTCCTGGTAAGAAACAGACATGAGTAGCAGGAACATGAGGTTAAGGAAATCATTCTATAAACTGGGCTTGCTGTGCTGATCCTCACTTGCTTTCTTTCTTTCTTTCTTTCTTTTTTTTCTTTTAAAGCCTTTTACCTGCAGCCTGCCTGGTGTAAGCCGACAGGTTATGTTACATTCCTCAGCCAACAACCTGTTATCTAAATGCCAGGCCAGAAATGCTGATGAGGAGAACACAAGTTACACCGAAGCAGATGACTTTTGTGACCCTTAGATGTGGGAACTCAGGGAGATAATAGTAATTCCCCCTAAAATCTATAAGAAGAGGTTCTAGTTAGAACCTGTCAGGATGGGCCAAAGCGACCTAGAGTTGTCATGACAGTGGGGACTTGACTGATACCATCCAGCTGTCAGTCACAAGTCAAAAGGTGGACCTGGGTGGGACTCTCTGGAAACTTCCTTGGGACTCACAGTAAAACTGGAGGGCAGGCCAGGTGTCCTAGCTGGTGGCACACCTGTAATCCCAGAGACTTAGGAGTTTGAGGCAGGAGGATCATAAGTTTGAAGCCAGCCTCAGCAACTTGGTGAGACACTGTCTCAAAAATTCAAAAATAAAATAAAAAGGACTGAGAATGTAGTTCAATGATTGAAGCACCCCTGGGTTCCAACCCCCAGTAACACACACACAGGTACACACAAACTTGGAGGGCAGGAGAGACACTATCCTTCCTCTGAGAGGACTCCATCTGTCCCCTGAAAGTGTCCCCTTTCCCTTTGTTAGCCCTTCAATAAACTTGGGCCTGAGAGAGGTTGGCAGCACACACCTGTAGAAGACTGAGGCAGGAGGATCACAAGTTCAAGGCCAGCCTCAGCAATTTAGTGAGACCTCTGCCTAAAATAAAAACTAAAAAAGCAGGGAGTGTGAAGGGCCCCTGGGTTCACCGGCCCCATCACCAAAACAAACAAACTCATGCCTGCTCCTCTGAGCCAATGTCTGGAATCTTTCTGGCTGTTGGCAAGGATMTGGGGGAAGAGGGGTGCTCCGTGGCTGCCCCAGYTTTTCAGTGCTTCTCTGCCCTGCAACTTTCCAGGTTGCCAGTGACCTCCATAAAGCCTTTCTTTCTACTCCAACAGCTGTCTCTGTGGCATTGGTTTTTTCCTGGGACAACCTTCGGGACCTCAAAGAGATGCTTTCTAAGTTTCAAAGCAGATGATGATTTTTGCCTTTTTTTCCCCCTAGTTGTTCTACAATTTTTTTTTTTTTAAATAAAAAAAGTCTTATTTCGCTAACTTGCTAACTTGCTGAGGCTGGCCTTGAATTTGCAATCCTCCTGCCTCAGCCTCCTGAGGATGGGATTACAAGCAGTGCAACACTGTGAGTGGCCGCAGCTAACATATATAGGAATGCTTAATTTAACTGCTTGCTTTCTTCCACGCATCACCTCATATTCCTCACAGCTGCCCTACCACTAGGTCCTATTATTACCCCCATTGTGCAGAGACGGAAGTCGAGGTTCAGAGGTCTAAGTAACTGGCCAGGGTTGCGACGCTGGTAAAGCGGAGGGGCCAAGGGATCTGCAAAGTGAGCAGGGCAAGCATTTTCTTCCAGATCGGAGCAAAGTCCAGACACCCCGAGGTCTTGGCGACAACTGGCCTGGGGGCTGTGCAGAACGCCAGTCTGGAGACCCGGGGCGCGGCTGTGTTCCGTTCTGCTACAGGTTTCGGGTGAGTACCCTCCGATGTGACCCGGCCTCCCCCGCACCACGCAGGTCACAGGGCTGGAAAGACTGWGTTCTCGGGCGGAAACAGTGAGCGCTGCCGCCCGCGCCCCGCCCCCGTCTCCCTGGAAACGGCGGCCCGCGGCCACGCCCCCCGGCCCCGCAGCGCTCCAGGCGAGCCGAGGTCGCCGCCGCTTCGGCCTCCCGGTTCCTCTCGGCCGCCGCCTTCCCTTCTCGCTGTCCTCTTCGGCCCCAGGCCACCTCCTGCAGCCGCGCTCCAGCACCGGGCACCCGCGTCCGCGCGGGACAGTCCCCGCGCTCTCCCYGGGTCCACCCCTCGGCCGTGCTGATTGGGCAGGCGGGGTCTCCGCCCGGCGGAAAGTTTTCGGTGCCTGGAGGAAGTTGAACCTTGGAAACTCCGAGCAAGCGACTCCGGTGGTGGCCTCSGGGGACTCGTGGTCATGGAGGAGCCCCCGGTGCGAGAGGAGGAGGAAGGGGACGGAGAGATGGATGAAGCCGGGCCCGAGGGCGCCCTGGGCAAGAGCCCTTTCCAGCTGACCACGGAGGACGTGTACGACATCTCCTACGTGGTGGGCCGCGAGCTGATGGCCTTGGGCAGCGACCCTCGGGTGACCCAGCTGCAGTTCAAGATTGTCCGCGTGCTAGAGATGCTGGAGGCGCTGGTGGATCAGGGCAGCCTGGCCGCGGAGGAGCTGAGGATGGAGAGGGACAACCTCAGGCAGGAGGTGGAGGGGCTGCGGAGACGGGGCCCGCCGGCCCAAGGGGAGGTGAGTGGGGGAGGCGCCCACCCGAGGGAGGCCTTTGGCCTCTGTTGGAGGAGCCGCTCAAAACAGTTCTCTTCGAATTTCCAATCCTCAGATTGGACAGTTGACATTCATTGAGTACTTACTTGATGCCGGGCTGTGGGGTGTGTTCTAAGTCAGCCTCCATCATTTCTGACCTTGACTTAGATCAGCTAAAAGCTTAGCATATGTGGCTGGGAAAATGGTTCCGTGGTAGAGCGCTTGCCTGAAGCTTTAGGGTACATGCCAGTCTCGCACACTGAGTTGCCCTTAAAACAGATGACCAGATCCCAGCCCCAGAGTCCCTAACTCAGCAGGTCCGAAATGGGACCTGAGAATCTGCATTTCTAACCAGTTTTCCTGTAACGCTGATGCACCACACTTTGAGAGACTGGACTTGAGTAAGAGATACATTTGAAMTAAATAGAAATTAGTGCATATGACAACAAACCACAAACACAAGAAGATTCAGAGCAGCTTTAGTAATAGTGATCGTGTCAAAATGGAAAGAACTCTATTGCAACAGAATAGGTTGTTTACATTGTGCTGTGGTCCTACAGTGGAATACTACACAACAATGAAAGAGAACTGAGTAGTGATACAACAGTTTAGATGAAACTCCCAGATGTCACTTTGAGAAAAAGGAACTAGGAGGCTGGGGTTGTGGCTCAGTGGTAGAGCACTTGCTTAGCTGTGTGAGGCACTAGGTTCGATCCTCAGCACCACTAACAAATAAATAAAT